CCGGCGGCGTGGTGAGCAGAGTGCCTTACCCGACTCCCAGTTGTGTCAAAAGCGAGATGGGCCCCTGGATGGAGGGCTACTCCGGGCCTTACGGGGACATGCGGTAAGTTTCCCCGTCCTCAAATAAGTCTGTCTGGGCCGACGCAGCCCGCGCTCCGAGTCGGATCGGCCCCTCCGCCCCTGGGGCTGCTCCAAGCGCTGCCAGGGACGGGGCCTCCCCGAGCCGCGAGCCTAACGTGGACTGCGGGCCTGGCCGAGGCTTCCCCCTTAGACTCCCGAGGCCACCGCTGCCCTCCCCGGTTCCTGGCAGCTGTCCGCCCCCAGCCTCCTGAAGTCCTCGCTGCCTCGTGGTGCCCCGTGTCCCAAGGGCTCCAAACTTCAGCCCCTTTGCAAGGGCCACCCCTCGCAAATAAAGCCCTTAAGTCCCCCCACTTCTTTTGCGCCTCCTCTCCCCCAAATCTGTGAACTTGGACGGAGGAGCTGAGCGCCGCCTCCTCTTAGGGTCTATGACAGGCCGCCCTCCAGCCCGTGGCCGGGCTCGGGCCGGTCAGAGGCGAACGGCCGGCCCAGACTTTGCCCAGCCCGCCTCCTTCAAAGAGACCAAATGCAGTGCGAGATCGCGGGAGGAAGGTGGTCTCTGAGCTGCACGGCCTGAAGGGCTGGAGAACGGGTGTCAAGAAGGGGTGAGGGTCCTCCCCTGGAACCAGCCGAGTTCTTGCCCTAGGCTTGGCGGTCAGCACGGAGAATCCGACCCGTCAGGATCAGAGCAGGCAGAGGTGGAGGAAAACCAAAGGCCAAGTTTTTTACTCCACACTGGGAGAATTGGCCCTCACAGGTTGACTGTTTTGGAAGTAGCCGCTTGAGTGGGGTTTTTTTTTTCTTGTAAAGTGTTCATTTTCTCTGGGGTCTAACAGAACTACAGTCCCCTACTTCAGATTTGCATCAGATCTAGAAAGATGAGACTGTTCCTTTAATGAAGAATTTAACCCGACTCAAGTGTGACTTAGACAAGTGTTTGAGAATAAATTTTAAAAGATTTCCTGCTACATCCACTGTACTCAGAAGTCTGCTTTGCGGAGGGAGGGGTTGGGCTCTTCAGTCTATTCCTTCATTTTAAGGACAATTGAAAACATGAACTGTTACCTCTAACAAGCTGAGCAACAGCCATTAGGGGCATATGAGCCATAGTCTTGCCCAAACTTTTAATGAGATGATGAGAAAAAACGGTCGTCACTTTCCTCTTGCTTGTTAAATACCCTTCCTTGTCACAGCTGTTGAGCTTCTTGAAGACCATATTTCCCAGCGAACTACGGTTTCGTTTATCCCGGTGACAGCGCAGAGGGTGACTGGGGAACCGACTCCTTGGGCCCCCTGGGTGCTGATGCCTCCATGGACTTGTGTGTCGTTCCATGTTTCCGTAGTTATTTTCTTTTATCTGTAACTTTTCCAAAATTTCTTTGTTAGCCTCAGCATCCTCGGCGACTGAAATCCAACAGTTTGCCTCCTTTCACCGATGTGCCTGTTCTCGGAAGGTTGATAGCATAGGCTTAGGAAAGGAAGAGGAGGATAGGATTTCATAAAATATTTTCTTGGCTATAGAAGAATCAGCTTCCTACCAGGCTTTATATTCTATTCGGTTTTTGAGGTTTGGCCTACAGGATTGTCACAGGGTTCCTTTATAGTGTCAAAGACTTTTCCAGTTAAATTGGAGTGTTTTGGTTGGTTTGTTTTGGTTTTCTGTTTTCATTATTATCACGAGGTGCTTATACCATGGGCTGAAAGGTATTTTTTCAGTTTATGAGAACTTTGTTACTTTTTTTTTTTTTTTGGTAAGACTGTCACTAGTCAGCCAATCCCTTTGCCACTGTGAACTTTTCTGGGTGCAGGGTGGGGAGGATGTCAGAGGTGCTTCTAGATCCACCATTACGCTAAGCCCAGTCACTGGAAACTTCTCCCGGCTGCACGTCCCCTTCAACTAACTCAGTTAACGGGGATTAAATGAATGATTGAACACGTTTGTTAAGGACTGTCTATCTTCGAAGACGTAAACTGAAATTTTTAGGAAGTGGCTATAAGAGAGCAAAAAGGTTTATGCCGTCAGGTGTGCAGTAAGCCAGGTGTTTTTGTCACAGGTCTTAATGGAAAATCACCTGGAAATACCTGCTTCAATTAATGACCTGAAAGAGTGAGGATTTCGTAGTGCCTGAAGAAACTACGAGATTACTTCATCTTTCTTGGTTCGTGATTGCTGCGCCGGTTATGGGGTTGATAAAGAATTTTCATTTCCACGATATAGAAAATACTTGAGTCAGTTTTTTGAAACTTTCATCAGAACGCAACCAATTTCAATCTAAGAATAGACATTTTCTTACTTTCTCTTTCTTTCCCTCGCTTTGTGGAGGCACGGTTTGGTGAAAGGCAAGGGAATTTTTTAAGCCAAACTCAGAGCTTCCACCGTTTTCTGTATTGCATGTATTATATGGCAACTTGGAGTTAAAAATCTCAAAATTCTACAGGTCTCCAATAACCTGTTCGATCGTTCCCTTTCTCCAACTGTGTGTATGTACGTGTGTTCATACGCATTAGTGAATTATAGGCATGAGAATTTTTTTTTAACTTTAGTAACTTCTGGAATAACTCTGTTTTTATACATCTGCAATGTTTCTGCCAAGAGAAGAGAGGCTGAAGGTGGTCTTTTTTGGTTTTTGAACATCCTTCACCATGTGGTCTGAAGAGAAGGAATCGTAAAAAAGTGATGGCGATGTGTCAGGGAGCTGTCTTTTTTCAAAGATCAAGCAAGACTACCACTTTCTTAACTGACCACTGTCTCAATTGACAGAAGCAGGGCCCTTTACATCCCAGCGAACACAAGATTATGACAAATATTTATTCTTGGGAATTAAGGCCCAGGGGAGCCTGCGCTGGAAATAGAGTTGGGGTTTAGATAAATTATCCAGAGGCAGAGGGAACGTTTTAGTTTTTCTCTTGGTACTTCGTTCCGGTCTTCATAATAACTAGTCTTTCAGTAGTGTCTCGAGGTTGGAAAATCCTGCCTTTCTCGATTACTTATTTCAAAACAAGTCATTTTATTGATTCCTCTTTCCATCTCCTTTCCCTCCTTTTCATGACGCTCTTTCACAGAGCAGTTCGTCTGTTCTGTGAAACAGAATTTTGCTTTGGGATCAAGATAAAACTGGCTCTCTCTGTCCATGGGCCTTGAGGGCCAGTCTATTGGGAGGAAGGGAAAAAAAAAAAGCATCCTTTCTCCATGGTCAGCAGATCGCTGGTGAGTTCTGTCTGGGTACCAAAGAGCCACTCTGACTGGTCCCCCATTTTGAAATATGTGCAAGATGTGGCCACTGACGGTCCCACTTGGTTGTCCGCGGACTTTCTCTCTCAGCTCAGCCAAAGGTTAATATCAGTGAGAGATATTTTCAAAGAAGCCCGCAGCCTTCCAATTGCAGGGTCACTTCGGGGTGCTTTCTTGCCAGTGCTAATTTTACCTCATCAGACTGCCATTCTTTGAGCTATAAACTTTCCTATAATATATTGAATTTGCCGGCACACTTCATTTTCTCTTTTAAGTGTTTTTCCTCTCTGTAGTCATTTTCTCATCTGGTGTACATATACACATTTCAGACGAAGAAATCTTTGGCTTCCTCACTCTGACTTGTGCTGTGGCTGCTCTCGGTGGGATTATGTGAGTTGGAGTGAGGGGCATGATCATTTTATTACCATTATTATTATTGTTATTATTTTCATGGAGATATCAAGACCATTGGTTTCAAGCAGGGGATGGAATGCTGGCTGGGTAAGGCAATCAAGGGGCTTGTTTTATAACGAAACCTAAAATCACGGCTCTGAAGAATAAAAAGCAAACAGAAATCAAGTTTTGTGAGGTTGGTCTTCAGAAAGGAAGAAGACACCCTCTCTCCACCCCCGACCTCTACCAGTCTCTCTTCGTCTGCAGCTTCAAGTGCTGCTGCCTGTCCTGGATTGTCCTTCTTTCCACTCCTTTAATGCTTTTGACATCGAACTATAAATTCTCCTTCCTGCTTTTCAGCATATCTTTCCCGTTACACCTGTGGCGTGCCCCTAAAGATCGTTTCTTTTTTTCTCTTTTCATCTGGGGTAACAAATCAGATCAACCTCAGCACCTCTAAGATGAGTGACTTGAGGGATAGATAGCAAAATGAAAAGCTGAACTTTTTTACCTTGAGGTTAGAACCTGAGTCAACAGTTGCTGAGGGAGCTGACCCACGTGGCTGGAGGACTCGTCATTGTAATGAACTATTTTGCAGGCTGCTTTCTCTGTCTCTCTCTTGATCTCTGTGTCCCTCTGTCTGCTGGTCATTTTGACACCCTTTACTCAAAGCCTCAGAAAAACTGGACCCTCTCCCCTCCGAGACAGCTCCGTCAAGTTCTGTACAGTGACCAGTGTAGATTGGCATTCACCATAGTGAAGAGAATTATGAAATCTCATATTTATGTTACGCTCTTTTCAGTGAAGAGACCCAATATCTTCCAGCTCATTCTCTTGCACTCAGGTAGGTTTGAGCAGGCCAGGAGGCTGCTCGCTGAACATCCGTTTGCTAGTGCAATGAGTAGAAATAGTTGCATTTTCTGTAACATTTGTTTACCATGTGGGCAAAGCTCTCTAGAGCAACAATTCCCAGCTTTTTTTCTCAAAGCTTCCCACGTGACATAATGTTTTAGATTGTTGCTCAATAAAGGCTACTTTCAGTGGCTGCTGCACAGAGACGAGAGACGGAATTATGCACAATTCCTT